CAAGACATCCGCAACAGTTGCGGCCTCAGTCGGTGTCATAAAGTTGAAGAAGCATCGCGTCGCTGCGCTCTGGTAGTGCAACGGCCTGACTTCGCGTCCCCTCAATCTGAACTTGTCAAAGCTGGTAACCGTGTTCAGCGTAGTTTTTACGCTCCCTGGATATCCTTCTGATTTGACTGTGGCAAGTCTGGCGTAGAATCAGAGAAATATACACAATTGGAACTTGGAATGAAGTACTGTTTACATGAATGCCATGCCTGGCGCGAAATTGTCGCAATCTGCAATAACAAGCCCAGTCTAGATGCTCTGCGTTTTCGAAGCTTTGGAGTCCGGGAGAGCTTCAGGTGTAGAGACTCCTGGCGCTGAGTTTTCATACGGTGCGCAGACTGCCCCAAGTGTACGAAGTCCATCGGCACTCGGGCAAGTAGATTCGGAAGCCTGAGCAGTGCAGAAGCTAGTTTTGGGCGGCAGCAGCACTGCAATTCAACAAGATCGAAATCGCAAACGTAGAAGCCCCCAGCAGAAGCTCTTCGAGCACGACCCTCGTCCTGGGATGTTGCAGCCTATACGCACAGTCAACTTCGGCTCCTGCAATCACACCTGCCACCTACCATTCTCAGGAACTTGGATGTCCAGCGATCCTCGAGTTAAAGTGTACTGGCAATGGTGAGCCAGGCCGTGGCGATTGGAGGAGATCGTCCCATGGCTCAGAGACGGGCTGGGGGAGGGGAGATCCCTGTTCATGTTGCTGAAGATATGACATCGATAACTTTCATGATGACCATGATAAGCACATGCTGCCAATGACAGTGTGGATGAAGATGACAGGGAAGTCAAATAGCCGGCAACTACAGCAGCACGAACACTGATGCTCGTCGTCGTACCCTTGGGGATTTCCGTATATTTCAGTGAGCATAGCCTATTTGGCCAACTTGCGTGATTGGCTTGGGAGATCGGGTAGAGATCTCACTCGGTGCCCCCACCAGCCGTTCACAACCGCAGACCAGACAAGGCCTTTCTAGCTGACCTTTCCTTATGTGAGCTCTCCTGCTCACAGTTTACATCAACGTCCAGGCTCCTTCACGGTGCAGGGTCCTAAACCCTAAGGCCGATTGTAATCATATCCCTTTACGCAAACTCAAACCGGACTCATCCCAGGCAACGAAGAGAGAAAGCTTGAAGCCTAGAAGCCCGTTGGGAATGAAGGCACTCCACATTGAGGGATTCTTAGAAGCCGAAACGGCTCCAGTGAAGGTTAGCGATTGAGTCTAGAGCCTCAAGCAACCCTGGGCAAAGGCACAGCCATCCGCCTGCCCACGGACCCAGACCCGAGGCGCACGGTATTCAGTGTGGGAGTTTCCGACAATAGGGGACCCTAATATAGTAATATAGTACCCTAAATAGTAGGATCCTTACTATAAGGACCCCTAAATGAGGTACCCCTAATTCTCGGAAACGCCCGTGTCGATTTCGTTGCCAGGCCTTAGGCGTTCAGAGTTTTGGCTGCGTGGGTTTTGGGGTGCAGGGCTGGAGCTGTCAGGCTGGGCGAGGGGTCTTGCCGGTCGGGATGTAGGATTGCGGGACTGTATTATCTTGTGTTATGATATAGTATGTTTTTCGGAGGTGTTCAGGAACCATGCAGCATAGAAGCCCTTATAAACCCTAAAGAATCCTACCCGAAACTCCCTGGATAAGACATGTCCCCTTCTATCGAGGCCTCTTCAGGAAGTTGGCAGGTGCCGCAGCAGCCGGCGTCGATGAACTCAGCTTCAGTGTTTAGGGTTTATGGCTTCAGGGGCGACCGACTCCAGGCGAAGTGCGAAGCCTGTTGCAAAAAGGGTTTGTGAGTTTGGGGTTTATGGGTGTAGGGTTTCAGACAACGAATAACTTCTGATTGGTTGGTCCGTTTAATAATGACCGTATGCTTCCGGTCTATACTACGGCCTCTTGTCTTAGATCGAAATTCTTGGTCGCAGATTTCCGGACTTGGGAAAAGCATGAAGATTCGCCTAGCCTATGGAGTGGTAGGCTGTGTGTTTTCAGGGCTTGGGATCATGGATGTATTGCGGGGTTCAGTGACTCGATGGTGAGACAAGATATCCAAGCAGGTGTCGACAGTGCAAGTTTTCTCAAAACTCTGTCGAGCAGTTTTGTCCCGCGTTCCACATCTTGATGCAGGTCAGACCTCTTGTCATGTCAGACCTCTTGTCATGGCCACATTGGGGGCGCGGACTAGGGACCCTATACACTTCAGATGCTAAATCAAGGTCGCAAGCAAAACAACCTTGATTCGATCTAGGCCTGGCAACTGGCACCAGAGGCAGGAGCAGGACATGGTGGGTTTCAGGGGTTGCTAGTTAAGGAGGTTTTCGGAGGGTCTTGGTCGCAGTTTTTCGCATTATAGTTGTGTTGAGTGCTGGAATTTGTGGCCCAGAACGCCGTTCTAACGCAGTAACAAACGGCGGGAAAGAGACGGTGGTCGGGGCTCGAGGGCCTGCAGTTTCACTGTCAGGGATGTGGCTTTCGGTAGAGCCTGTCTGACTCCAGGTCACTCACGTCCCTATGGCTAAGAGAAGGGGTTCAGAGGCAAAGGCGCAGATGTGGTTTTCGTTTGCACTCAGGTGTTGCGCAGGCTGGACATGGCGAAGTGATTAGACAGAGCTGAGGCTGCACTAGGCTCATCTTTTTGCTAGGAACTTACACTGGAGGGATGCAGAACACATACTTGCTGAACAACCAAGACCTGCGCATGAGACCTGCGGTCGGCTCTTCTTCTGGGTCAGTAGCGTGCGAGGAGCGTCAGCGGCGTCAAAGAGAGAAGGAGGATCAGCAAAGCCCTCGGATAAAACGTGAAGTCATACAACCACGGGAAAGTTTGGCACTGGAAGCCTGACCAGGCAAAAAGGCCCAATCCATCCTTACAATCAGAAACCTACGATGTAGAGGTCTATAAGTATGGGTACCTTTTTTTCTGGCATTGCCTTGTCGGATTTTTTCCATGGAGGGTTTCGCAGCTGCCTGCGGTAACGGCATGTCACGATTGAGGGCCTTTTGTAGGAGAACGTGTTGTGTTTGAGGTTTGAGGGGAAACTTGTTGCTTGTATGGCTTCGCGCTTGTCGGGCACTCTTAGGGCACAGCAGGCAGAGACCATTGCTGCCTCGGCTTCAGGTACAACATTTCAGGGTCTGACTTTCGGGATCCCGGCTTTTGTCGGGTTTAAGGTTTGAAGCGCGAAGAGGAATCTCCATTCCTTGTATCCCCATTCCTCAGCAAGCCTCAACACTGGGTAACACTCAACACGAAGCCCGAAACCTGAGATGTAGGAGTGCCTTTCGGGAAACCTGCATCCGCTCGTACACAGCCAGGGGCGAAGCCTAAACATGTCTCTTTCCCTCGGTTTCTCTCTCGTCGAAAACAGACAGCTAAAGCTGACTTCGGTTTGCTGTCCAGAACGACCGATACTTTGGGGACTTCGCAGTGTTGTGTACTGGCCGGATCCTACTCTACAGAGTCTTGATTCCAAGGATATTGTAGAGATTGTATGGTTCTCCTTGAATTACAGTCTGCACCTCAGCATATCTTGGATGGTCTCCAGTCCCCCGGTTTCGTGCCGGCTAGGATGCTGCCTGAGGATCTGATAGTAGTAGTACACCGTCATCACGTAACGTCACCGCTACGACTTTAGCCTGCATCGGCATGAGTCCTCGAGGGTGTCCCAAAGGGCGTTTCATGGTGCAAGTTGATGTTAGCTATAAGCCGTCTAAGCGCAGTCACATCGAAGCGCCTGGTCCCGTATCATGTCGGCAGACCCTCGAACATACCTGCTATGGGGACCTCAACGAAGGATACCGGAGCCCCTCGATCCACAACCACGTACCCCTAACCCTGAGCCGCTTGCCAGTCAAAAGTCTCAGCGCCAACAGACAAGGGCGGATCAGGCGTGGCAGCACTCCCGACGATCCGAGGGATTTGTGCTGGGGAGGGTGAGGCTGAGAAAGTGAACTACTTGTAGTATCTTGTAGTATGCTGAGATCTTATGTAGCGAAGCCAGTGTGTGTTCATGTAGGTGACGACCAGGAAAACAGACACTTTGTCAGAGCACCCTGGTGGTGTTTCTACAACGCTGAACCATGCTGAACCCTGGGCTCACCCCTACTAGAAGCTTGTTTCTCTTACGTTCACGTATATGTATGTGTACACACACGCACGCATGGTGAACTGGTATGCTACAGTTAAAAAAACAGAGAGAGATATAGTAGATGCTTCATGAGTCCACTTGGAGTCGAACAGAATGTTTTATGGGCGTGCATCACGGGGGTTGGGGCTTGGGGTTTCTTGCGGAGTTTTCTCGGGATGTTCAGCGCTTGTGGAAGATGTGCTTTGTGGGACTAATCTTCTTTGCTTGCCTTCTTTGGCCACCTGCATTCGTCGGAATTCTCGCAACGCGACCATTCCAAGTTGTTTTGTCGCGCTGCCTGCAAGGAGTTCAAGTTGTTTGTTTTGCTTATTGTTGCAGAGGCCTTCGATCATCTCAAGGTCACAGATGTAGCCGATAGTGGGGTTGGGGCGGAGGGAGGAGGTTGTTCTCCCGCCCCGCTCCCCCCCCTCCGGCTTTCTCCCCCTCCTCCCCTTGTCGTTCTTCTCCTCTCCCCCCGCCTCGCCGATGATACTTCTTTGTGTAGTAGCAATGGCAGTATTGTAGTAGAAGTCGTCGTCGTCGATGCAATCAAAACTTCAAACTTCATGGCCCTGCAGCCGAAACAGCTGAAAGATTTCATTGGCCTCTTAACGCGGAGAGAGAGAGAGAGAGAGGCTGTGAATGTTTGTGACCTTGTTTCAGGACGCCTGGCAGCAGGAGTGGATCAAAAACAAGCGAGAGCAGGATTGCGATTGCTGCGCATGTTGCCTGTTTTTGGCCCTTGTAGGGTTGTACGCGCTACCCGAAGCCTTGAACCTTTACTCTTGTAGAGTATGTGATTTTGCGAAGCTGCCGCGGGCAATGTCGGCGGAAAGCACTGTGCTTTTCAGCAAACAGTGCTTCGGGTATCAGAACTTGACATTCGACGTTGCGGCTGAAGCTGTGCAGCGGCAAGCCTTTTTTGACTTGAGTCTCGTTGAACAACCTATGCACAAATAACCAGTGTTGAAAACTTAATCTCAGCCCTTCCTGCCTTTAGCCCTCCATACCCAAAGCCACAAACAATTATCCTGACAAAACGACTAGGATCCTCCGCAGTGCCCCGAAGCACGAAGGACCGGCTCGAAAAGGAGCTCAAGCAACAGGAGGAGGAGCAGCAAAAGCGCCAGCGCAAGGTCCGCCGGCTTTATAGGTTTGGGGTGGAGTTTGGGGTTTGGCGTGTGATTAGAAGCAACTGCATCAGCATCGCCGTCGTTTGCTATGTTCAATATCATCAACATACCTACATGTTTGTGTTCCTTCGGATGCATGCCTGGTGTCTTTGGGCTCAGGACCAAAGTGACGTTGCATGCATGGAAACACAGTTGCCACCCTGATCGAAAAACTATCGACTGGAGATGCCATCGGTAGTAACATGCGGCCCAACCCTGGAGGCTTCGATCTGCAGATCGCCGACACGTCGAGACAAAAAAAACATAAAAAAAAATATCCTTAAACCCAGAGTTCCAAAATCCAAAGCCCTGAATCCAAGGGCCCTGACCGTCGCACCTAAGAAGGGGCGCTGTATTTTTCCATGACAAGACTCGCCTTGTCGTAGGGGCGGAAAAATGCCTGTAGTATTATTCCCCCCTGTTGTTCCCAGGATACTAGACGTATAATGTACCCCTCTATGACAGCCTAAAGCCCTGACTGGCGTTTGGATTCGAAGCCCTTGGGAGGAGGCACAGCGGCGTCAGCAAGAGGAAGAGGTGCCTTCACATGGCCACTGCCAGATTTCAGATAAGTTGCTGCATTTGATGATGTATTGTGTTCCTAGAACACGTTGGGGATTTCCGCAGCCGGAAAAAGCTTTTTTTGCTTAGACCCTGATAGCGGCAGAAGTCGGCTTGAGTATGTCAGAGTGAAGCTCAACGCATGCGGATTTTCCATGCCCGCGAGGGTTTCCGAAGGTGTCGAACCGCAGCCCAATTCGAAAAGGTTTTAGGTCTGAGTTTTGGTATGTCGGCCAGCTGTTGCCGAGAATTCGACGGAGAGCTTGACACAAGATAAGTAGCCACGCAGATAGGCAGACAGACGCATGAAATACAGCACCCAGCACACAAGTCTGAAACACACTCATCAAGTTTGGTGCTTACGGCTTACCTGCGTAGGAGCGGCAGCGGAAGTGGCATGAGCAGGAGGAGCAGTGGAAGAAGCAGGTCCTGCTCTTGGGGCTGGGCTTTCGAGGACATGACAGTCACCACCCCCATACCTCTTCAGCATAACTCTATAGTAACAAGACGAGGACGATGGGCAACAATTCCTTGTAATTTCACTGCGCACACACACACACACAGTCAGGGACACAGAGCCCGTGAAGATTCTTGAGCAGAACCGGCGTACCTTGGAAGCAGAGTGCATGCCGAGTCGATGGGTTTCTCCAGGCACGGGTTTAAGGTGTACAGCCACGATTCCTCGTGCAGACTTCTGGCTCCAGGGACACTCCTCCGGAGCTTCAGAACACAAGGTATCCTATAACAGAACATAAGGTATCCTTACACAGGGTCCTTGCCATGAGGGAGAAATTTCGCATGAGGTTGCATCAAGAGGCCTTTACATACACAAAGCCTCGCAGAAGCTGGGGATTCGAGCTGGGTTTCGCAGAGTCTATACCTCATATTGCCCAGGACCCACCACATTTGTTTTTGTTACCTGTATATATATATATATATAGAAAAGTCCTACATGAAGAGTGGACGTCGGAGCCGCCGAAGCCGAAGTTTGCAAAAGGGTCTGGGGCTTTGGCGTTTGCATCGCAACCGTTGGATCTTCGCATCTTGCTCAAGTTTCCTCTATTTACTATATGTCTTGGCCTAAGGCAAGTCTTGTCAAATCGCTGGATCACTGAACGTAGGCCCAAATGCAAGAGAACGTCCACGTCCGAGACGTGTGAGATCCTTTGAGCCTCGCTTTCAAAGTCAGGCGGAGGAGCTGAGAAGAGAGAAGGAGAAGCAGGCGCTCCGGGCGGCTTCATGTGTCGAGGTTTTTGCTATACCAGTGGAACTGTCGACAACAAACTAGCAACCTTGAGCCTACGAGGATTTGGGGCCAACTTGGAATATATTTACGATATTTCAGACATGGCCGGTGACCCAGCCATGACTTGCATCCTCAGCCGGTCCGCCAAGCTGCTGCCAAGCTTTACGACTTGAAGCCCTTCGCAGACGCACACTTCTCCAGATAGTTGGTCCTCTTTGCCGGGATGTGGGGGTGGCCGGGTGGCTGGTCACAGCAGTCAGCAAGGCTGAGTCACCAGGCGTCTACATTGGTGGGCCTCGGGTCTCTCGTAGCGTCGTAGGGAAACTGAGGTTAAGGATAGGATGCCTAAGTTTGCAGTTCTCTTGCCGTCGCAAACAATTAAGCACGAGAGCCTGCTTGCCGAGTGCTTCAGCTCTTGGGTCTGGGGCATCCAGTGCATATGCCGTAGCAGCAGTAGGCACAAGACACGAGCACGCAGCACAACCACAAAGTGTTTCGATGTTGCATTAGAGTTGCACAGAGAGTCTCTGCGATTGCGATCGCAATGCTGGGTTAAGGTGCCGCAGAGTGAAAACAGTTGTTGAGTTGATGCTCTTTATGCTTCACCCGTTATCATTGCCGTAGCATTTGCGGTTTTCGGGTTGGCGTGGTCGCAGAAGCTGTTGAACCCTCCATTTAGAAAGCCCTAGTAAAGATAGCCAGCCTCGGTCATGCTTTGTGATGATTGTGCGCAGCAAGAGACTCCTGGGCTCATCAACAAGGTTTTGAAGCGATAGAATCCAGGAAGAATCCAGGCAAATTCGGGTTGCTGGAATTTCTCCCCGTCCTTGGGGACAGCAGGAGGAGCAGGAATACCTGCGACAGAAGCTCCAGGAGGAGCAAAGGCGCTTCTTGGCATCTCACACAGGTTCTGCATCGTTTGGGGTCAATGAGTCAAAGCATGGGGTGTTGAAGTCGGGCATTCCCCAATGCAAGAGCCCTGGGCTCTGGGCAGCTGCCAAATCTAGGGCTGAAGGGGGCTGCTGGCTGAGAACTTGTGCTCTCTGAACACTGAGTGTGTCAGCCGAGGCTGTAGAGAACAAGAGCAGCAGCGGCAGAAAGCGGAGAAGCAGCGCCAACAGGAGCAGCAGAGGCAGCAGCAACAGCAGCAGCAGCAGCAGCGCGGGCGCGAGCAGCAGCGAAAGGACCAGAAGCAGGAGAAGGCCAGCAGAACGGCCAGGGTCTGTGTGAGTGGACAGTGAGGTGAGAAGGGATGTTCTTGTTTCGACGTAATCCTTGGAGTCATCATCGGGCAAAAGGCTGCTCCGCTTCAGCTGAGGTGATGAGCCAGATGCAAGACCCCGGATGATGTGATTCCGACCCTAACTTCAAGAGGCTGCTTTACAACAGGAACCCTAGTTGATGCAGCTCCCTCTGAGTGCACCTGTTTTTGCAGGCTGATGGCGAGAGGAGCCGCGGCGGCTTCTTTGGCAGGCCTGCTTCTGACTTTGAGCCTGCTTTGGCAGATTGACTGTCGTACAAGGGTCCAGCATTCCTTTCAGTCCTTTGCTACTACTACTACTACTATTACTACTACTACTACTACTACTACTACTACTACTACTACTACTACTACTACTACTACTACTACTACTACTACTATTAGCAGTGGAACATACTACACCCTGACATCCTCCTGTTTCATGTCCTCAGGCCCCCATATTGCCCTGCCATCTCGCTGCGACCCTGTCATGCCAGTGATCCCAGAAGTAGTCCTCGTGCCTTCAGAGGTGGCGTGCGAAGTCGGAGCCGGCAAAGGACGGTTTGCCAGGTCTTAGGCATAGTGCATCGGAATGGTAGAGCTGATGCAGTAACCTAAACAGTAGGATCCTTATTATAACGACCCCAACTCAAGGCATTGTAGAGCCCGCAGGATGCTAGGAGGCCTGAGGGCTAGAAGGGCTGAAGGCATGCAGGGTGCAGGGATCAGCTGTGAGACTGACAAAAACTGGCTGATTAAGCTTGATGTTCTCATCAATAGTACCATGCTCTCTCGTGCGCATTGTCTAAGTCTAAGTGGTGCTTACTGCGTGCTAGTTTTGGAGTGAGCTTTGGAGCTGCATCGGGCTGACTCTTGCGCAGACACTGGTCCTGTTTCTTGATCAGCTGAATGTAGCAAAGAGGTGGCAGGCAAAAGCCTTGTATGGTTGAGTGTCTGGTGGTTTAGGAAGCTTGGCCCCGCAAGTCCCCTCCAGCCCAAAGCCAGTATGCTTCACTGTGAAACCTAGATTGCTAGATCCCCCCAACCTCGCAAGGAGTACGCCAATACTTGGGTAGGCCTTTGCATGGGTCGCAAGGAGCAGAAGAGAAGAGATGGACCGCAGGCTTCCGCTCCCAAGGTTCGCCACGACGTCTTGCTCCGCTGCATTTTTTTGTTGCCTGATGCTTTGAAAATGTACTATGATGCGCGGGGGTTTGAAAAGTCATGTCATGACGGAGAAAGCTGACGCCCCCAAGAAGACGCAGTCTTACGAACAGGGGAGCCAGTGGACAAGATGGCCAGGAGCAGACATGTCTGGCTCTGAGACCCGGGTACGACCTCCATCTTCCGGGAATAAAAGGTGTTAGATATTCGGTTATGCTTACGAGCTGGATGCATGGGCTTTCCCGTCGGAGTTGCCATTCTCGCTGAAACATCGTTTGGCTGAAGTCTTACCTTCTTCCACGGAAATAGGTTTTTTGCCGAAATGACGGGATGGCGGTTGCAGCTGAGCTGCTACGTGAGATCTCCAAAATCAAAACGAGTTCCGGACATGTTGTATTGCATGTGTTCGGTATCCCTGGTACTATAGTGTTGTTGGTTTTTGATCGTATGCCGAACCTAGAATCCATCCGACTAGATCTGTTGTTGGACCTGCCATGGGCTTCCGCGATTCTTTGCAGCGAGGCCCCGAGCAGCCAGCACGGAAGACAAAGCCAGAAGTGCGATGCGTGGATGCAGTGGCTTTCGGAGACTGTTCTCGATTTTCCGTAGTGAGGTACGGATGTTTCCGGGGTCTTACGCCTGAGGTTCCTCTGACTTTGCCGCCTCTTTTGCCTCGTGCTGTTTCTTGTGTCCACTTGAGCCGGTGTGGGGTCCCACGCTTCAGCACTTAGGGCTCCGCAAGCTTCAGTTAACGGCCCATGGCACCAAATGATTCTCGGGACGGCTGGGCTGCGGCTACGATGCAGGATTGGGGATTTGAGACGGTGTGGTTCAATGTATGAGTCGCCGCTCGACGAAGACTCGCAGACCTTGTCAGGCTTGGCCATATGGCGAGGAGACCAAAGATGCAAAGGTAAAGGTTATATCATATCGGGGCTCCTGTCTATACGTAGTTGAGACCCCTACTGTCTGGAATTCTGAATAACCCGAGGCTAGATCCTCTACCAAAGCCCAGTTGTTCTGTCGTTAACGAGTGAGCGAATTCGATTCAGCCGTCCTGGGTTCAGGAAAGAGACGGAAGAAAGAGCTGCGCGCGAGAAGATGCAGAAGGCCTTGAGGAATCAGCGGGAGAGTTTGTCATAACAGTCGGGTCAGAGCTCTCTAGGCGGTTTACCAGCAGTCGTCGAGGCCGGCTTTGCTTGTTGTCAAGATGGTGCCAACTCCCTAAGCGATTTCTAATGATACGGCGGCGTGTTTGAAGCAGTTCAGAACCAGAATCAGCGTCAGCAGCGTCGTGGCAATGTATGAACTCGTTAATTTCTCACGCAGAGAAAGATTCTCGTTGAAACCTTGACCACCCGTACAGTAGAGCACATACGGATGAAACGGCGGCAGCAAAAGGGCTAACATCCCACACCGCGTTCCACAAGCTTGTCTGGACCAGCGTCTGCGTTTAACTTGCCAAAGCCAGTGCATGCGCGAAGATCGTGATCTCGACGGTCGTGTGATTCTTGAGCTTCAAGGATGCGTGTCTTTGTTGCCCCGTGTTGCCATCGCAGAGTTGAATTTCACTCGTTTCAGGGATTTTGATGTGCAACCCAACAGTCCTGCGAAGGGCCCACTGCGGCAGAGAAGCTTTTGTTGTGTGTGTGTGTGCAGGCCGCTGAGCATAAAGCGTCTTCCCTGATGGACACAGTGATGAAGCAAATCGCTGGGGCCCTACGCTTCGGGTAGAAAGCTGATGCAGCACGCGAGTTTACACAGCACGGCGAATGATGGCGCTTGTGATTTTTGCTTCGTGGCAGCGGCAGTTATGCGGGTGATAGATGATCAGACACCGGATGTACACTCTCATACCCACATGCAAAGCATCCGATGTTTGCGGCGGCGTTAGAAGCTCGAGCGCCGTGACCAAGGTCGCACGAGGGACAAAACATGAGAACGCATCGATCATGCAGCAGCTGGAAAGTCAACAGTAAACAGTCAGGTCGCATTCTAGATCTGAGCCCCGTGACATCTGGGATCAGAGTGGGACGAGCAGAAAGAACGCTTATTCAGCAGAAGCTCCACATGCACAAACTGGCATGGCTGACAGGGAGTCGAAGAGTCACACTCAAGCTTTGTAGGGAATTTGCCGGAGAGAGACACAAGGACAAGGACGTCGAGGGAGACTGTGGTTTTGTAGAGGCCATCCGCCGAGGATGTGAACTGTCCGACTTTGAAGGCTAAACGGAAACCTTAGCTAACCATGGAAGGTAGATCTCCAGCCCTGGGAGCATTTCACTGAAAGCCCTGAGCCCTAAAGCGGAGTTGCATTCTTCGATGGCTCCTTGCGGATGGATGATGCAGAACAGGCCGGTGCTTCACTTTGAGAGTTGGGAGGCGTCCTGCGCCAACCATCCTTCTCCCAACAGGTCTCGCGTATGACTGAAACTCCGATTTAGGTTTGCGCCACATGATGATTCCTTTGAAGAATTTCCCCCGAGGCAAGGAATGCCAAAGTCAAGAGTGTAAGCTTAGGGTGTTTAGGCTTCATTTTGCCCTTCTGAGGCAGGCAGGCTCGCCCCAAAGCCGCAGAGGTATATCTGCATGGAGTTGTTCCTAGATGTCTTATATGGCAGCGTATAGCGAATCGATCCAAAAGGAGTCGCTCAGGCGTCACTTGCGGAGGGGTGTTTGCCCCTGCAGAGACCCGGTCACCAGTCGGAGGTCACTGGCTGTGGAGAAGTTCTGGGCGCGGTCGCCGAGGTCCGTTCTTTGTGAGCTTGGGTTCGTCTGCTTCTGTTGAGCAATGTCGCACCGAGACGGACAACAGCAAGCATCAGAACGGGAACGGTCACCGCAGCAGAAGGAAGGGTACAGGGCAGGGAGAATGGACGTGATCGATATCCTCAGCACCTGTGCTATTGGCGTTTCCGTTGTCGCGATGGTCGTCGTCG